TCTTCCAATAAACCTCCTGTGTGAGTCCTATTGTATGGTGTGACTCTTTCCTGTTGTTTGCATCTTTCTTTACACAATACTTGACAAATTACTGTGTGTATGTGTGTGTGTGTGTTAGTATCTAGATAAATTATTGAATGAATGAATGAGAACCAGGCAAGAGGGAATACCTGTATGTTTATTGAAGGTAGTTATTGCTCAAGGAAAAAGAACAAAAGAAAAAAGTGATAGGCTAGAGGGGATGAACCCAGAACAAGGATAAGTATAGTAACACAGGCCTGGTATTGTATTATTGAAGTTCCAACTTCTCAAGAGGCTGAGGCAGAAGGATCACAAACTCGGACTTGTCTGGGCCATGGGGTGGAGTCAAGGCCAGTCTGGGCAGCTTAGTGAGGTCAATTTCAAAATTAAAAGTAAAAAGAGGGCTTGAGTAATGGCTCAGTGGTAAAGAACTTGTGCTGCTCTTGCAAAGGATCTGAGTTCAGTTCCCAGCACTGATGGTGCGTGGCTCACAACTGCCTATAACTTTGGATCCAGTGGATCCAACACCTCTGACCACTATGGACACTGCCTTCCTGTGTACATACACATGCACAGATGTATACACACACACACACAATTGAATATAAATCCTTTAGAAAAAAAAAGTAACTGGAAAAAAAGGTAGTTAGGGGCTGGAGAGATGGCTCAGAGGTTAAGAGCACTCACTGGCTGCTCTTTCAGAGGTTCTGAGTTCAATTCTCATCAACCACATGGTGACTCACAGTCATTTATAGTGAGATCTGGTGCCCTCTTCTGGTGTTCTGGTGTGCAGACATATATGCAGGAAGAACACTGTATACATACTAAATACATAAAGATTTATATTTTATAAATTTTATATATTATAAAATATATAATAATATTTATTTTAAAAATTTATAAAAATATAAAATTTATATTTTATATATTTATATATATTATATATATATAATATATATATATAGTTGGTTATGGTGTCACTCTCCTTTAATCCCAGCATCTCAGAGACAGAAGCAGGAGGATCTCTGTGAGTTCAAGGCCAGCCTGCTCTACATAGCTACTAGCTAGCCAGAGATCCATAGTGAGACCCTCTCAAAAAAAAAAGAATAAATCAGTAAATAATGTGCATCAGATGTAATAGCGCACACCTTTAATCCCAGCACTGGGGAGGTAGAGGCAGGTGGATCTCTGTGGGTTCGAGATCAACCTGGTCTACAAGAGCTAGTTCCAGAGGCTGGAGAAATGGCTCAGTGGTTAAGAGCACAGGCTGCTCCTAATTCCCAGCAACCACATGGCGGCTCACAACCATCTGATATAAGATCTGGTGCCCTCTTCTGGTACATGGGCATACATGGAGGAAGAATGTTGTATACATAATAAAAATTAAAATAATAACAATAATAATAATAATAATAATAATAATAATAATAATAAAAAGAGCTAGTTCCAGAACAGGCTCCAAAGCTACAGAGAAACTTTGTCTCAAAAAATCAAAAAAAAAAAAAGATAATCCCAGCACTTAGGAGGCAGAGGCAGGTGAATCTCTGATTTTTGAGGCCAGCCTGGTCTACAGAGTGAGTTCCAAGGCTACATAGTGAGATCATGTCTCAAAAATAAACAAGGGAACAAGAAAAAAAATTCCTCACCCCACAAAAACCTGTTTAAAACTGCTGGAAATATGATAGAAAGCTTACCTAGTAGATGCAGAGTACTGGGCTCGAGCCGGATTCAAGTCCCACAATTACAAAAAGAGTGCGAAGACCTAGCTGTAATGGTGGTTCAGAGGTGAAAAGCACTGGCTGCTCTTCCAGAGAACCGGGGTTCAGTTCCCAGCACCCATAAGCTGCCTCACAAGTCTGTTCCAGTTCCAGTATACCAAGCACAGGTGTGGCGCACAGTCATAATACAGGCAGAATACTCATATACATAAAATAAAATAAACTTTTTAAAAAAGAAGGCAAAGCCTGGTGGTGGTGGCACATGACTTTAGGGGAGGCAGAGGCAGGTGGATCCCTGTGAGTTCGAGGCCAGCCTGGTCTGGACAGGCTCCAAAGCTGCAGAGAAACCCTATCTCAAAAAACCGAAGGAAAAAAAAGAAGGCAAATAATAATTGCTAATGAATATTGTGCTTACCACGCTTCAGGTTAATGTTTTCTTATATGTTACAATTTCATGTTCTCCTTACTTTGCCTTGTAATAATAAGTTGGGTTTTTTTTTTTTCAAGACTGGGTTTCTCTGTAGCTTTGGAGCCTGTCCTGAACCTCACTCTGTAGACCAGGCTGGCCTCAAACTCACATGGGTCTACCTGCCTCTGCCTCCCAAGTGCTGGGATTAAGCACGTGCACCACCATTGTGAAATAGAATTTTTAAGAACTCCATTAAATGACATGACATCTTAAATTTTTGAGATGAATTTGTGTATTATGGTGGAGGCATACACGTACCACAGTGAATGCAGGTCAGAGGGGAGCCTGCCACCCTTCTGCACGCTCCCATACCTTCCCCACCTGCTGGGTTAAGTCCCTCTGAAACTGAGTTAGAGTAAACGGAAACAGTTCTTCTCCCACAAGTGCTCCTGCCAGGTGTATTGTCACAGTGAGGGGAGGGTGACTTATGCAGGGTGGGGGTGCTGCTGCTCTGCTTTCACAAGGGGAGAAGCCTCCTCTCAAGGAGATGGGTATTTACTTGGGGTCATGTGGTCGGTGGTGACAGTAACAGGACCCAATGCCAGTCTGTCTGTCAGCCTACAGAGCATAAATTCTTGTTTACCTGTATTGTTATATACCTCTTCTGTTGTATTCCCCTCCCGCTTTTTGAGACAGGGTTTCTCTGTGTCACCCTGGCTGTCCTGGAACTCACCGCATAGACCAGAATGGCCTTGAACTCAGAGATCCGCCTGCCTCTGCCTCCCACGTGCTGGAATTAAAGGCATGCACCACCATGCCCCACTTCTGCACTAATATTTCGAGAGTTTTTGCAAAACTCTTAAGTATTTAAAAGTTTCTTTGAAATCATTTGTTTAATAACAGTCATGCATTCAGCTTTTTACATCACGTGACAAAGCGCCTGACCTAAAGACTTAAAGGAAGGAGGTGTTGATCTTGGCACCCAGCTTCAATCTGCAGTTCTTGGCTTCTGTGCTTTGGAGCTTGTGCTGAGGCGGAGCACGGTGGCGCTGGGAACATTTGGCAGGAGTTCCTCACTTCATGACAGCCATGAAGCGGAGAGCGGGCAAGGAGCCTGGCCCCAGGTAGAACCTTTAAAAGCTTACCCTTGGTGATCTGCTTCCTCCAGCTATGTCTCGCTTCCTAAAATTGGAACATCCCAAATGGAGCTACCAGCTAGGGACCAAGCATAGAGTGTGTGGCTGTGGGGGACAGCTGAGATTCTGACCGTGGCAGTTACTGGTACTAGCTGTGGGCTCCACAATGGCAGGTTCACACTGGTTGGTGCCTTCAGTGCAGCACCTGCTCTCACAGCAGAACCTGACGAGCGTTACTATCTGGTGGACATGTGACCTAACTGCAACGGCCAGGGTTCTCTCAGCCCCTCTTCCACTCCCCCTTCGCGGTTTGCCTGCCTCATTTCTACCAGCGCCACCAGCCAGCACCAGCCCCTCTCTCAGACTTAAGCTGAACTAGTGGGCATTAAATGCCACGGCTAGGTTTTAGTTCTAGATGATCCTTGGACTCAGCGAATGCTGATCAAGTGACTGCCTCTCTCTGGCTTAGGATGGAGAGATGCCAGGAAAGATCGAAGCATCTACCCTGATGGGTTACACCAGGGCTTCTAGAAGGGATTTTGTGGCAGGAAGGAGGGGGGCAGGAGATCGAATGTCTGTGAGACTCGCACAGGGCGGCTTGATGGATGAGCAGTGGAAAGCCCTTCTATGAAACAAGCCAGACCTGTTGCAATCATACCTCTCAGTGGCCCAGAATTGCATTTCCCTTAAGACATGCTAAATTATGCTCTGGATTTATATGTGGGCGGTGTCTGCCAGCTCCTCCTCACTGTGCCCAGAGAAGGCTGTCTGCAGATGGCCCTGCAGAAGAGGGCACCGAGGAAGGTTAGACCCCTCTTCCCAAGAGCCTTGGGGCCTCGGAAACTGATAGCTCTCTGAGCGTTTCCTTGTTTCTGCAGATCCCACCTCTTCCCCAAACAACCTTCACATCTTCAGTCTGGAGCTGGGCATTGGTGGCACACGCCTTTAAGCCCAGCATTTGGGAGGCAGGTGGGTTTCTGTGAGTTCGAGGTCAGCCTGGTCTACAGAGTGAGTTCCAGGTCAGCCAGGGCTACACAGAGAAACCCTGTCTCAAAGAGAAAAAAAGAAAAAGAAAAAAAAAAAAACACCACCAAACATTTTCAATTTTTATGTAAGCTGGGGGGTATTTTTCCCCCCCCACACACACACAGTCCCCCCACCCTCTGTCATGTCTCCCATTCTCTTATCTCTTGGGAAGTGGTAAAGGGCATCAGGGCAAATGATGCTCAGCCTTCAGATTCTCCTTGGCAGGAAACTGTGTAGGTGGGTTGGTTATAAGAACTGCCCCTCAGCTTGCGTTAGTGTCTTTTCTGGGATTGTAAACTCCTGGGAGCCCCCCCCCCGACACATTACCAAATACAGTAGAAAGGTGACGGTGGCCACCCAGTGACAGAAGAGGAAAATCCATTCTTGACCGAGGCTTGCTTCAAGCTGGCCACTCGACGAGCCTCATCGCCCGGTCCCTGCTTTCCTGGCTTCCAGTGGCTCGGTCTGCCCCTGCCAGCCTTTGCATTTTTCTATCTTTTCCTCATTGCGTGGCCCCCTTGTCTTTAAAAGGCTAAACTGCTCTGTACTAAATTTGGTCACGCAGCGCTCCAAGATTCCCTGGAATGTCCTCAAGTTTCAAACAGCTCTGACAGTGAGGCAGGCCCGCCCCCTGGCTTGGGGATTGGCTTCTCCTCTCTGACTGGGCAGCTGTCAGGTTTTATTGGTTGCTGGTTAGACCAAGCAGGGTCCACTAGCCTTGGGCTGCAGGGAGGCTGCCGTGTCCCCTGAGCACCTGTGGCACAGCGGGCCCTACGAGCCGCAGTACTCATCTAGCTGGGCCTTCCCACCCAAGCCCACCCAGTCTACCCAGACCAGCACCCCCTCTCCCTGCTCTGCGCACCACCAGCACTCCCACAGACTTGGCAAGAGAAGCTGCCCACTTTGCCAAGATGTCCAAGGTAGCCAAGTATCGGCGGCAGGTGAGTGAAGACCCTGACATCGACAGCCTGCTGTCCACCCTCTCCCCTGAGGAGATGGAAGAACTGGAGAAGGAGCTGGATGTGGTGGACCCAGATGGGAGCATCCCTGTGGGGCTGCGGCAGAGGAACCAAACGGACAGACAGCCCTCTGGCACGTTCAACCGGGAAGCCATGCTCAACTTCTGTGAAAAGGAGACCAAGAAGCTCATTCAGAGGGAGATGTCCATAGAAGTGAGTTACCCAGCCTGGAGGGGAATGGGGTGGGAAGGGAGGACTGGGGCCCCTAACTCCATGACCAGAGACCTTTCCTTAGAAGAATAATCCTTACTGGCAAGGGACGAAATGCTTCAGAATAGGTTATTATGCATTAAACTGGCAGTGTGAAGCTCTGCCCTTGATTTGCTCTGTAAGCAGAAGTTGGATGTGTTGGAGAGACAGGACATCTCAAGAATCAAATAGGAAAGGGGGCCGAGAGGTGTCCTTGAAGGATACATTGTCGAGTTGATGCCATCATGGTCTCGGCATGTTTCTTCCTGCATCTCCATCCTGTGCTAGTGAGGAGGGAGAAAGGATAGAATGACGTTTGTAGTCTCCAGCCACTGAGGAAGAGGAAGCCAAGCCGATTCTAAGGCTCTGGAGGACATGGCCCAACTCCTGGGAGCAGGGATGGGAAAGCAGGGAGACACAGTGGAAGAGTTGGAGCATCGTCCCTGTGCCTGCCATTCCCTGGGCCCGTGTTCAAGACTTTACCAGGAAACGAGGAGTGTGTGGGGAGCCAAGGGACTCAAGAATTCTTACCCTGCGGGGAAGATGGCTAATTCTTTTATAGCTCTGAAAATAATGAATAAATATCAAAACAGATATAGGGGAAATGATAGACCCTCCATCGAGGGGCTGGTGACCCAGGACAGAGAAAAGAAACTTCGACAAGGTTTTGACACTTTTGTGACCCCGGCCTTTCCTGGACCCTAAGACTCACTCTGGAGTTTGGCTCTGTTCTCCTTTTCCATTCCTTGGGCTCTGGGCCCTATGGCTTCCTTGTCTCCAGTGGCTTCTGAAGGATGAGGTCAAACAGAACTGTTTTTAACCCATGGGAACCAAACCCAGGGCCTCTCATTTGCCATGGAAGCGTCCTGTCTTTGCACTATCCACCCACGCCTAAAACCAAAGCCCTTATTTAATTATAAAGCAAGATGTTTAGACCAAAGAACAGCCGAGGAACCCTTGTGCTCCTGGGACTTTGATTCTCCAACATTCTGCACTTAGTAAATACTGTGCCCTGCCTCTCTCTTCTGTCTCCCAGTTCCCTGGCCCTGCTCAGGGATGTACTTCTTCAAAATGGAGCCAAGTCAAGGAATAGAGGGTGAGACAGTATGCATCTTTGGAGGAGATGCTGACCTTAGGACCATTGTTCCTTATAGAGGTAGTCTGTTACAATGCTCTCATTGCTCCTCATGCAGGTAAAGGGTATATGTTAGCATAATGGCCAGCTGGAGTTAGAAATGTATACTGAGCACGGTCAGAAGTCTCTAAATCTGGGAGAATGTGACTGAACCCTAATATGTAACCTCTTTAGCATTGTTATCAGAAGAATGAGTGTGAAGTCAAGGCCTAGAGTACCAGACAAACCCTGTGTGAGTACCAGCAGCTTTACTGTTCTGACCCTATGACCCCTCCCAGCTCACCTAGATCTTGAGACTAGTACCCACCCCAGGGGCTGTTGAGGTGACTAAGAGGGTGGTGGAAAGTGCTTGGCACAGAACCTGGCACATAGCATTCAGTAAACAGCAGCAGTGGAATTACTAATTCATTTTAGTAAAGGAACTCAGAAAATGGTGAAATTAGTCCAAAACAAATCTCGGCCCTTGTCCAGTCCTGCCCACCCCTCCATCTAGGGACTTGTCTCTTTAATTTGTGACCAGAGCAAGCTCGCAAAGCATGGATGCTCAAGTCTAGCTGGAGAGTGTGAACTCCACTCCAGGCTGGGGAACCAGCTCTAGCTCTTGCTGCCTGAGCCTTTTTCCCTCTTCCTGAAGACTTGCAGGTCATAAGCCAATCGGTTTGATAGTGAGCTAGCCAATTAACTAGACCCGCAGAAGAAAGATGAACTACAGAGAACCTTCTACATGCCCACTACCCCAATCTTGTTTTATTTTAGTTTTTGTTTTTGTTCTGTCAAGAGGAGGTTTCTCTGTGTAGTCCTGGCTGTCTTGGAACTCACTCTGTAGACCAGGCTGGCCTTGAACTCAGAGATCAGCCTGTCTCTGCCTCCCTAGTGCTGGGATTAAAGGTGTACTACACCATCACCTGGCCTCAACCTTCTTTTTCAAAGCCTTAACAGTCTTAGGAGATAGGTATTTTTATCTCCATCATAAAAAAGTCTCAATGAGGCTAAATACTTGTCCAAGGTGATACAGTAAGTGACCTGCCTGACTTTAAAGTTTGTGCTTCCTTCCCTTTTCTTGTTACACTGGGATATCAGAGTACGAAGGGAGATAGTACCAACCCTTCTTTATTTTTGTGACAGGTTCTCAGCTAGCTCAGGCTGTGTCAAACTCAACGGCTAGTGAGAGTGACCTCGAACTTCGCTTTCTCCTGCTTCTACCCCCAAAGCAGTGGGATTACAGACATGTGCCACCATGCCAGGTTTGCACAGTTGAACCAGGGATCTTGGTGCTTGATAGATAAGCACTGTGCCAGCTGAGTTCCATTAGGGTCATACAGCAGCTGCTTGTGAGAGCGCCAGAGAGATGCTCAAGATCCGTGTACTTGTGTGCTGTTAGAGGAACAGTGGCCATGACAGTCTGCCTGAAAGGCTGCCCCCACCCCACCATCTGAGGAGTACCTTAACTATTAGACCAACTGTCCATGAGGGAAAGGGACTGGGTGGCATTAAGACACTTTAGTTAAATCCTGTTGATGGGATGGTGGCATTATGAACATTCTTTTGTTTTGTTTTAAAGATATTTACTATCTTATTTTTTGTTGTTTTAGCTTTGGTTTTTGTTTGTTTTGTTTTGTTTTAATTTTTATGATTTATTTATCTTTATTTTATGTGCATTGCTGTGAAGGTGTCAGATCTCCTGGAACTGGATTTTCAGACAGTGGTGAGCTGCCATGTGGGTGCTGGGAATTGAACCTAGGTCCTCTGGAAGAGCAGTCAGTGCTCTTAACCGCTGAGCCATTTCTCCAGCCCCTTGTTTTTTGCTTTTCAAAACAGTGTTTTTCTGTAACTTTGGGGCCTGTCCTGGAACTTGCCTTGTAGACCAGACTGGCCTTGAATTCACAGAGTTCTGCCTGTCTCTGCCACCTGAGTGCTGGGATTAAAGGTGTGTGCTATCACCACCCTGCATGGACATTCTTTTAAAATGTTTATGTTTTAGACATACGTCATAAACTATTCTTGGGAAAATTGATTGAATTGGGGGATTTGCCTTAAAATGACAGGGATGGGAGTGTGGGTGAAACAGTGCCGGTCTGGAGTTGTTCCTGTTGCAGCTGGATGTTGGATTCACATGAGTGTTTATTACGTTGTTCTCCACTTTCGTTTGAAACTTGCCATACTGAGAAAAACACTTAGAAGAAACTAAGAGAGGTAAGCAGGCCCATTCCACTTTTCCTCATACTGTGACTGGCGTGCTGGGGTCTAGACCAGGTAAGGGACCGAGGCTACGTCTTCCTCACTGGACTGAAACAGTTCACGGATCTTTGGGATTGGCTAGCATAGTTTTCGTGGATCTTCCTCCCGTACCTCTTCCGGGTCACCACCTCCAGGCAGTCATCCCAGATTCTTAGGCAAAACTGGGCATCTTGATCAAGCATGCCAGGGCAGGGTCATAAGGTTCTATCCTTCAGGACATTTATCATTAGAGAAGGGGGTGCTCGTGTGTGTCGTGGTGTGCGTGTGGAAGTCACAGGACAGATTGCAGGAGTCACTCTCTACTTCCACCAGAGGTTCCAAAGGCTGGAACTCATGTTTTCAGGTTTGCACGGCAAGTACTTTTCCTCCTGCTGACTCTCCCCATGGTGATGGAGACCAAACCCAGGGCCTTGAGCATGGCAAGTGTCTGCCCTGCTGTGGAGCTGCATATACCCCTGCCCCTCTTTTATTTTATTTTATTTATTTATTTTATTTTTCTTGGCCGTTTCCCTCACCAGTATTTATGATTCAGGAGGTGGATACTTACATAAGGCCTCCACATAGATCATAAGATCCCCAGCTGCTTATGAAATGAATTTTAGTTAGCAGGGGATTCAGGGAAGGCTAGAGGCGGGCTCCTGCCCTGCCTGAAAATGGAGTGGATCTGGCAGCCAGTCTTCTCCCTGGTCCTCTGGGAGTTCTCCCTTAGCCCAGGTGGAAGACAGAGCCCCAGCCAGGGCATAAACCAGCAGTGGAGTGAAGCGGTCCTTGTCTAATGTTTCAGGGACCAGATCCCAACAGGTCGTCTCTTATTCTTCCCTTCCCAAGTGGGAGGGGACCGACCCCTCGGCCTACCTCTCCTGTCCTTCTCTCTAGGGTGACAGGGACCCAGGATTAGCACCTGCATGAAAGCGGGGTCAGGGGCCAGGGCAGCTGAGCCAGGGGGTGGAGAAAGCTCTTTTAGGTTTTCCCCAGAGGCTAACTTGAGACTCTTGAGAACCCACTGCTGGCCCGGAACCTCCTGCTGCCACTTTAGCCTCCACAGCCCCTTCCTCCAGCCTTGTTTCAACTCCATCCCCCTGGGCTCCCCTCATGAATGGGAAGGCCCGGGACCATGGCACCAACCCTCAGAATGCCCTTTGCGGATAGCTGGGCGCTGGGAGTACACAAGGCAGCACGGCTCAACGATTAAGGAGATTAACCCCAACTGGTACACACTCAAAATAGCCCTGGAGGCCTGAGTAGAGAGGGCAGAAGAGGTGAGGGGGGCCTGGTGACCCAGGTAGACACATGCACAAACCTAGAAAAAGCTAGACAAATTTAAAAGCCACCTCCATCTGTAGTTTGGGAAAGCTGCTGGCTGTCTGCAGCTAGGTGGTGTGACCTACAGGTATTTGTTTTAACTTGTTTTTTAAGTCTTTCGTTCATGCACAGAATATGTAATATTTAAAGAATTTTGTGGGACTGGAGAGGTGGCTCAGAGGTTAAAAGCACTGGCAGCTCTTCCAGAGGATCCAGGTTCAATTCCCATCACCCACATAGCAGCTCACGACTGTTTGTAACTCCAGTTCCAGGGCTCCTGACAGCCTCA